AGAATGGTTCGGTAAATGATTCAATTCACATTTTCTTTTATTAGACCCTGTGTTGAACTAAGCTTATCTAGGTTAATATCTTACTGCGTATTTTTGTATCTGTGGTTTTATATATATATATATATATATATATATATATAAAGATAGACAGATAGATAGATAGATATACACACCAGGTGTGACCAAAATTATCGGGACTGTGACTATGCCAACGGAACCAAACTACAGAATGAATCTGAATGACACAGATTGACCTTGAACTCTGTCGCGCATGCTCACTGTTACAACGTTCTTGCCGACTTTCTTTCTTTATAACATTGCTTTAAAGGAAAGTGCGTAGAATGTGGTCGTCTCACCAAACGAGAGAGGTTCAATCAGTGACTATAGCTTGCGCAGCACTTTTTGACCAAGTGCAAATTTTCCCTAGGTCCGGCAACACAATATTCCTTAGGTATCGCCCCTCGTAACATTTTCCTCTCCAAACTTCCATTTGAAAGGAACAAAATTTAAAGACGTCGAGGAAATCCAAGAAAATGCGACAAGGCAATTGCCCCCCGCCAAAAATGCTTACCTCAGTGGAAACGACGCTGGATAAAGTGTGCCGATTCAGAAGGGGTTACTTCGAAGGAAATTAAATGCTGAATTGAAATGTGGTGTTTTTTTTCATTACAGATATTTTCAAATCGTACCTCCTACACACAAACATATAATTTTTTATATATATATATATATATATATATATATATATATATATATATATATATATATATATATATATATATATATATATATATATATATATATATATATATATATATATATATATATATGGCGGGTGCTTGTGTAAAAGTATTCACCAGATGTCTATTGTTAAACAGTTAACAAGATAATTTCTGAACGTTCTTCGAAAGTCACCATTATGGCTTGTATAAGACAGCTAAATTTAGATAAAGCCCAAACACGTTACTGTTTATTTCATTCAATTATTGTTTCGTTATTAATTGAAATAAGCCGTTTCAATTGTATTCCAAGGATAATTTTAAATTCATAACCTTAGTGTTATTTTATCATGAAATGGGAGAGAAAGAACTGCTGTAATCACTGATAACTAAATGCAACTTTCTATCATTTAATAACTTGATTTCTCGTCTTTAGTGTTTTTATTCCATCAAACCTATTTATATCTCAATTAAACAAATCCAATCGATGCAAAGCATCGCTCGTTCGGTTCGCGTCACTATAACTTTTGCTACTGGAGCTGACTTTAAACACTCCCCAAATGAGAAGTTTATTAACAGCAGAAAACATGGCCGTCTTTACGATCGGGCTTTTATGATGAATGAAATTGTTATTTGCCGTAATAACCTCCAATTCTAAAACCAATAATTAATGCACAAAAAACAATCATGTTTTTATACTGAAGTCATTAATAGACATAAAATATTTTTGTTAGTAAATTCAGATCTTGAAAGCTTGATGCTACAAAAAGGATTCCTTAAAACAATTGGCGTTTAAAAATAGAAGTCAGATAGAGAATCAGCCTGAAGTCTTTTTTACGACCGGGAGCATGCGGAGTATGCAGCTACTTATTAGACGTAGACGAATTTCATTTCAAAGATGGATCTAAATTAAAAATTAAAGATTATTTCTCGTGCGACTCAGAGCATTTAATATACATAATTACATACAATGACTGCCACGAGCATTACATTGGCCAAACCGGCCAATCACACCGGCAAAGGATGACAGTTCATCGCCCACAAAGTGGCGATCTCCACGCCAGAAAAATACCCCTTAGCCAACATACAGAGGAATGCGAAGGACAAAATCTGTCAAATTTTAGTGTCTTCCCATGATACCAGTGCGACTACAGAATCACTGAACAAAAGCCGATTAATAAAGAAACATGTTTTATCAATAGATTCAAGCCAATACCTAATTCATTGCATAAATAGATTCCACCAATTTTTTCTTACCATAAACGTCATATTTGGCTAGTTACGCACCTTATTTATTTATTTTTTTTTTTTTTTCATTTATTCAAAAACATAAGCGTCAACCGGTGGGGATACAAACAGTTAAAAACTTTTTGAAAAGTTAAGCGAAACCGGTGAAAGTAAAAAAAGTAAAACAAATTCTTTTTCTAGGAATAAAACCCACTGAAAATCCAATCCAAGTTTTAATCCAATTGTAAGTTTTGATTTTAATATTTCTCTGTAAAAATACATATATTGTGAATAATATAAATATTAGGTGTTTTTCCTCATTCTTATTTTTTATATATATATATATATATATATATATATATATATATATATATATATATATATATATATATATATATATATTTTCTATCTATCTATCTTTATATATATATATATATAGATATAGATAGATATTATTTTTATATATATATATATATATATATATATATATATATATATATATACATATATATATTATATTAGCATATATATATATTATTTAATATATATATACATAAATATATTATTTTAGTATATATATATATATTATTTGAGTATATATATATTATTTGAATATATATATATATATATATTATTTTAGTATATATATATATATATATATTATATTAGTGTATATATATATTATTTGAGTATAAATATATATATATATATATATATATATATATATATATATATATATATATTACTTTAAAAAATGCAAAAATATAAAATTTAATTTATCTGGCTAAATGCAATCGTCGGGGCCTGACGATTGCATTTAGCATAAAAACAGACTATCGCCCCTGGATATTAACTTCAACGTCTACTTAGGGGTGTTGAATACATTGACTAATTATATATATAAATATATATATATATATGTGTGTGTGTGTGTGTGTGTGTGTGTGTGTGTGTGTGTGTGTGTGTGTGAGAGAGAGAGAGAGGGAGATAAACTACAATCTGACGAGTTATCTACTCTTCGGTGTCTCATACAAGTGGGTGGTTCTTCTAATAATTAGGAAGTTTCGTAATTTTTCTCACCGTTCAATAAATGGTGAAGTCTGAATGAAAATTTGATCGGAAAATAATTTAAAGTTTTAAAAATTTAGAGTTTAAGAAACTTAAAAAAAAAAACCTTAAACTTATCAAAGAACGGAACCTAGTAGCACTGGAAAGACAAAAAGACAAGAACGGAACACTGTTTTTAAATAGTAAAGTAAAAGCTGAGACGATAGATCGGTGGCTAGTAATATTGCTGATTCTTCTTTGGATTTTATCAAGGAGCACTAGGTAACTATCTTGAGCACCAGACTATATGTGGCAGCAATTTTCTAAGCACGGATGAATAGTAAATTTCTAAATATGTATGATGGACTCTGGAGAGAAAATCGTCTAGTACAACACAGTGAAACAACCTTTCCAAGTAGCTGACCAAGCAATGGATTCAATATAGTCATTCCACTTCATGTCAGCTGAGAATGTTAGTCCAAGAAGGCAGAGTCTCTCTCCTGGATGTGAGCATCAGCTATGATGATGGAAGGTAAAAATGGGTCTCCCATATGATTAATAGTGAGCAGTTTAGTTTTGAAATCATTAAAATTAACAAGCCAACCTTTACTCTAGTGAACAACAGACCGAATGTCGTTTTGAATATCAGCTGCCATTTTGACCTTATCAATTGATCAGACTTACTAAAACAAAGTAAGACCAAAGATGGAGCCCTGGGGGACACCTGCATTAGTACGAAAGGAAGGGGAAGAGTGACTGTTCAGGATTACTTTCATTCCACGATTTGGTAAGTGTTTTACCAGAACATTACCTATTCTATTGTAATAGACTCTCCCACACATAATAAGTAGTAGTAGTAGCGGTCACCAGTTGGGCTCAGTGGAGTGGAGTGAGTCAGTCGATATAGGACATTGAAATATCAATCCACCACAACTAGATTGCTGCGTCATTAACTATTATTGCAAGTTCCTAACGTTTTGTACGTCGACTCTAATTTAGGACTGACAAGCCTCCACTCTGAAAATTACTCTACAACAATAAAAAAAGATAGGATCAGGTCAACGATTTTTCCATAGACACTTTTCTTCATGCTAAACCCTATCAAAAACTTTCAAGATGTCCAATAGTACAGCCCTGGCTTCACCATTCTTATATAGAGCTTGATAAACTCTTCCGTAATTAAAACCTTTCATATTATAAAAGCAGATAAATTATAAAAGCTGCTTCAATAACTTCGACCGATTTTAAATTTGAATTAAGTTTAAGCATCTAATGATTTTTTTTTCTTTTTCTTTCAGATTTGGCGGACATTTGGGCGATATTATTTATCACACATAATTGTCATGACTTAACTAACATATTCCAATAGAGAAATAAATAAATTTTCACCATTAACACTGATTTATTTACTCCTGTCTTTGATCCGTCTTAATGAAACACTCTTATATAAATATATATATATAATGAAACACACTTTAAAATTGAATCAACTGTTGCTTCATGCTTGTGATCTGGGGAAGCATGTGGAATTAATAAACGGGGTGGGCTTAATATGGTTGGAGAAACGTCTCTCACCTTCTATCAGATATCAAAAAGTATGTCCTTCAGTTGACCTGAAGAATTTAGAAAGAGCATGTTTAAATAGATAGACATAGTCTGATGCCATTTAGTTATGCCAGATTTTACCGCGACATTAATACAACGAATTTCTCCAGGGAGAATTAGACTAGCAAAACATCTCTCGAAATTCAATCACAAACAATCAGTTTCGAGTCTCTTGCTACTGAGTGAATCACGAAAATCTATAACTCGATTGCCAGCATACACTACGTTCCCCTAAAATGACCATGATTCAAGCAGATCAAAGTCGTTAAAATCAAAACCTGTGCCGAGCACTGTGTCTGTTTATTGCTGCTCGCCGTCGCTGGTCGCTAAATGATTCTTTGTATTTTTACAGGTCGCTTTCATCTCCTGCTGTTTGCCTTCATCCTGATGACGTCGTGTCAGATGAATTATGCACTTTACTATTCGGGCAGGAAAGGTTCCTTCCCGCGGCTGGGCAAGAGAAACGAACCCGGACCCAAGACACATGTGACTACTCAGTCCGATAGCCGAGAGGGACGATCAAACAAGATTCTTCGACGTTTGTACGAAATCATAGGTAATGTTCATGTTTACCATTTAAAACTTTATTGCACATACGCGTTCTCACACACACACACACACACACACACACACACACACACACACACATATATATATATATATATATATATATATATATATATATATATACTGAAATTGTATTTCGCCCGGTAAAAACGGTCGGCCAGTGTATTTTTGGAAGATGAAGCTTGCAAGGATAACAGTGGTTTGCAATTATTTACTTATTTTGTCTCTACACTGAGTATATATATATATATATATATATATATATATATATATTAACTGATTTAAATTATGGATCCTTCGCTACACACGAATTGCCATGTTTCAAAAACCGATGCTAAAATCTTCAAATTTAATTATATAATTAAATCAAAAGCATTAGTTTTGTTACATCCTCAAGCAAATTTTGGAATAACTTATTTTTATATTTACTGAGTTTTAAACGCACATATAATTCATAATTTCTTGTTTCCAAGGATACAGAGAAATCCAATCATATAGACAGCGGTGGTAACGTGTCAGTTTTTCATTTTTTACGTTAAATTAGTACGAATTTAACGGAAAAAATGCTGAAAAACTTTTTCTCGTTAATAAAAAATAACAAAAAAAAAACAGACGACATGCGTTGAACGGATGTCAAAATTCGTTGGAAAATGCACCCCCTGCACTCCCTAAATTTACCCTCTTTTTCGAACGTAACTCATAATTGATACAACAATAGTTAATAAAAATGGAACCCCTTTATGGAATGGAAATACGAAAAAAAGTAAATAATAATGGAATTATTCGTTTTGTTTCAATTAATTTGCACAAGGTTGTATGTAAGATAGATTCAAATTGTTTTCGGTTAATTGAAATCGTTTTTCTAAACTACGAAGCCAAATATTTCCTAGTGAAAATCCTGTTTTTGCAAAAAAAAAACTTCATATGGAATATTTTACATGTTATCTGCTCTTTTTTCCTGGGTAAACTACTGACTACTTAAGATCAGACAGAATACTCTTTATGCATTCATTGTCTGAGTAGAGCCCCTTCTTTATACCAAATGATTTTTCAACTCTTTATCCTTGGGCAAGGGCCTTTCGTTTCAACAGACAAAAAGAAGATTCAATTGAGCGAGAGATAGCTTCGAGAATAGACGACCTGGATCGTAAGTATGAAGGGTAGAAAAAGAGGGCAAAACAAAAGAGAAGAAAAGAAAAAAAGAAAGATCAGAACAAATTACAAAGATCCGAGACTCAACCAAGAAGCCCTTCCAAAAATAATTTCGGCATTTGGCCAGATTTTAGGTAGGATTTTGGCTGATAACTTTTCAGCACCCTTTTGTAGGAATAAAAGCTCAAACGCCTGTTAAAATTTAAACGTTTCAGAGATTTCATTTTCTGTCGCATTTTTTGTTCAACTTTTTATCGACTCTCACATGCAAGCGTTTCTACAGACACTTATTTTTTGACATTCTTCATGGCTTCTCTGTGAGGAGCTTCAATCCATCACTGAGTTCTTTTATTAATTCTTTACGACGAACTCTTCCATTATACTCAGCTTCATGAACAAAACTGATTTTGATTCATTACTCTTTCTACCCTTCAAATAAATTTCTGAAACAATTAGAATTTAATGAAATCTCTTAAAGAAAAAATAAATAATAAATTTATTTTATTAACTATTATTAAACTTTTACTATTTTTAAAAAGTCCTCTTATTTTAACTACTTTTATCATAACTCAGATATTTTAACAATAAACTAACAGAAATAAGATGAAACATATACTTGGAAAAGTTCGTCTTAATCCAAAAACTTTTGTCATTCATAAAAGTAAAACTATGAAGAGATCTGATATTTTGTTTACGATTTTTTTTCTTTTTTGTAATTTTCTTAATACAAGATTTAATTACACAGAAAATTGTATTTATTTTCTGTCTACTTGAAAACTCCAGGAGAGCGACTCGTTGGGATTTCTTCAGCTGACATGAAGTAGGAAGATTATATTGAATCCATTGCTAGGTCAGCTGCTAAGAAGGGTAGTTCATTGCGTCGTGCAAGACGATTTTCCTCGCCTGAATCTATCTTATATATTTATAAGTCTACCATTCGTCCATACTTTGAGTACTGCTGCCACAGAAGTAGGGGTGCTTCTGTTCTGTACTTAGAGATTCTTGATAAAATCCAAAGAAGAATCTGTGATGCTATTGAGCCTGATCTGGCATCTCGACCTCAGTCATTATCTCACCACCATCATGTAGCTTTCCAGTGTCTTTTCTATAAATATTTTCATGTTCTGATGAACTTTCCTCTATGGTACCTAGATTTTATGAATTTAAACGCAGTACTAGATTGGCGGTAAGGTCTCATTTTACAGCTGAAATAGCAATATGTAATATGCTAACAGTGTCTTCTTTTTCACTTCTCTTTTTTCTCATCTCTCTTTCGGCTTTTTGCTTCAAAGTCAACTTTAAACTTCCAACATTTATTGCAGTGTCAATTCTGTCTTCTTCATTGTCGTTCCGTTCGGATTAATGAAGACGGCTATTGTCTGAAAGCGATAAAAATGGTAAATTTATTGTTGAATTATTAACGCCCCAAATCAGTTTAGGCCAGTCAATGTTTCACCGTCATCTGAAAAAGTATGAAAAGGCGCCTAACATAGGAAAATCATTTTCCCATCATACTACATAGGCCAGCCGAAAAGCAAAAGTGGACATTTTTACTTCTCTGCATTTTCGAGATAAATCAGTATCCAGTGATGATAAATAAAAAATTGTTTATCAAAAATATGATATCATATAAACTATGCATCATATCCGTATTTGAAATATAAGCGGAACGTTCTACTCAGACTCTTTTTCGGCATTTTGCTTTCGAGTCAACTTTGATCTTCAAAATTTAAATGCAATGTCAATAATTAACTTCCTTCTTCATAAATTCTGTTCTTTTATTGTCCTTGTCTTTAATAATGTTTCTTTTTCTTATATTCTTTTACACTCAGTAATCCCCTGCATCTTAGTAGCTTTGATGCATTGCTTGGAGTGAAATGATTAAAAGAAAGCCAAAAAATTACATATTGGCACCATATTTTGCCTGGAACAGTTCACGCCTTATTTTTCAATCTTTCAATCCTTGACGTGCTCTTCTTGGTGTTTAGTTTTCTACTCTACAGCCTTTTTCCCACAAATGCAATTTTGCAAGCCTGATGTCATTCTATCACAATGTTCATAGCAAACGTTCAGATGCGCTCCACCATTCTTTAATACCGCGAGTTCAGACTTTTACGGCTAGAACACGTCGTGTCACTTCCAAAAGTAAGAAGAAAATTCAGCCCTGAAAACCTTTTCTCATGTACTGCCACAATGTGAAACAAACTCCTGCGTGAGTAAATTCCTGGAAATTTTAATATTGGTCTCTTCAAGTCAAAAATCAATAATCATCTGTTTTTTTCTTATACACACAATCTTCCTTTCCTTCTTTGTTTATCATTTGACCCCAAGTAAGGCGATAATGTTACTAAGACGGAACGGGTTACTGAGAGTGAAAGAGAATGAGAAGTCAAGAGAAAGGACAATAAAAGAACATGATTCAGAAAGACAGAAGTTGGCGATTAACTTTGCATTTCATTTGATCATGTGGGAAGGGAAGCGACAAGCCGGAAAAGCGTTCCACAAGGTAGAAGTACGAGAAAATAAACTATTAGAATAGAACTTACGGTAAAAGTCTTCTCTTCAATTCAAATCGTACAGATTTATCATTAACATTTTGACCACAACACTCTACCTTGAGCAACTCTCGAGCCTTGCATTATGTTAAATTTTTATTAGAAATACCCAAGTTGCTCCTAATGTGATTGGGCGACGTTAATGTCTTGCTAACGGTTAGAGTTGTCTTTCATGAGTTGCAAAGAACAAACAAGTTCTATAAAACATTTGTTTGAATCTTTGACTCTCTGTTCATCATATTATTGCTCCTTTACAATGCATCTAGATGCATTTTGAATTTTATTTTTTCTTATATAGTTATCCGAAAAAAACACCTACTTTGCAGATGGAAATAAAAAATGTAATTCGATCAAATGTTATAATTAGTAAATATTATTTACAAAAACAAAAAAAAATAAAATAAAAAAGAGCCAAAATATCCCTAGACATGGGCAGTGGAACAAGAATGAATCTAACCCCGTAGATTAAATAAAGGGGTCAGTTCGAAATTCACTGTACGCTAGCTGGATCGACACCTGATGAACGCCGGAGAGTAGAACGGCCGAAAAGTTGTGATAACAACAACAAAGATAAGGAAAATAGCCTGAATTTAAATAGTGTAAATAATAAGAACAAAAACATTTAATATCAGATCTCGGAAAAGTGTCTTGGTCTTCAACTCTCTTAAAGAATTGTTATGGGATCTTACCCATAATAATAATAATAATAATAATAATGGACTATTCCATACTTAATAAATACTGCGCCTCAGGAATAGGCAAGGAGTGAGTCAGTAGTTCAAGTGATTCAGTGTATTTAATATCCCACCCACGAGGAATATATGTGGCACGAGGCCGTGATTAAAGTTGGTTTCTCCGAGCCCGTAGGCTCGGCCAAAAATATACCCTTTGAACCCGTCTAGACGGGTTCAGGGCCTGTCTACTTCCCCGGACGAAACCTTACCCTTCGGCAAAGCTTCGTCCGGGTTCCTCTCTGCCAAAGCAGAGAGTTCAACTGTCATGATCTGGTGCTCGTTACACCATTCATTTAAGTTCAAGTGATTCAGTAGTTCAAGTCGAGTGAAGAGTCGAGTCAGAGGCAGTCCGAAACAGAGTCGCGTTCAGACAATTACTACAAGACATTGGAATAGTGATACTGGTCGAGACTACATTGTTCTCTCTATTAAACCTGATTGTTCATACTAACACTTCTACTTCTCTGTATATATTCCTTTTTGTAATATAGCTGTGTTATTCCATACCTGTGTTCGAGTTCTTATTTGTTTCTACCTTGGATTATCACCGTGGTACAAGGAACCGGACCATAACAAGAATAAATATTTTAAAAATAAGAAGTGTTTCAACACTACTTGCACACACACACATACACACATACACACACACGCACACACACGCACACACACACACACACACACACACACAAACACACACACGTTTATAAGTTTATATACTGAAGATTAACAGATTCTTAAATCAGACTGAGAGTTAAGCAGCGTCAAGTCGAGATGTGCCATTATTTAGGTGGATGACCACTTGGGAGAACACTGTGAATAGTGTAGAGTAGGCGGAAGTGAATATCAAATCGAAGGAGCAAATGACAAAATTAAACACCCGCACAAGGGCTTCTCAGAGCGTTCCGGACTTCAAACATATTTCAAATTCTCAATTTAATAAAAATAAATAGCCAATAAAATCAGCAAAGCAACCGCAGACTCCCTTTGATTTGTCTCCCAATTTCATTTTCTCTCTTCCTTACTGAAAGTCTATTCACGTTCATTTCCTTACAGTCAAAGAGAAGAATTTTCTAACTTTCATTTCATGATTAGTGACTACAGTTAAAATCTATGTATCCTACGTTTAAATAAATATCATTTTATTTGAACACGAAACAATCTTTTCTCTCATTTTGTTTTATTCAAATGGTGACCCAAGGAACCTTTCCCCCAACAATGGTAACGATTAGGGGAGCATATGCCGACAAAGAAAAAAAACATTCCTGCCTTTCGAATGCGAGAAGATGGTAAAAGATGGCGGTACATAAAACGACAGATTGCTGATTCGGATCACATTTTGCACATGTGTTTCAAGAAGTAAAGAAACATAAATGATAACGACAAGAAGATACCGTCTCTAAAAATGAGACACTGCAAATTTAGTCGGAAGTGCAACCTCTAGAAATTCTGACCATTTCACTTGGAGTAAAACTGAAATATTAAGATGACTGAAGCTAACCATTCCTCTATTCACTCAATTTCAGGTTTTATAATCTAAAGTCTTCTCAAACATTTTCACTCGCAGTAACCCCTTGCGTCTTAGTGACTTGTCTTGATTAGGATGTAATGATTAAAAAAACAAACTTAATGATTTGTTTGATGAATGAAACGTTTTATTACGAGTTTTGTGTTTCTAATTAACAACTAAAAACAAATACGAAGAATCGTTGAAACGTTGAAGGTACCATTTCTTTCTTTCTTTCTTTCTTTCTTTCTTTCTTTCTTTCTTCTTATTCTAATTCTACTTCTTCTTCTTCTTCTTCTTCTTATTATTATTATTATTATTATTCGATTCTGTCATTTTCTCCTTACTTCTCTTCTTTTCATTTTCTGTTTCTCCCTCTTCTAAATTTCATTCTTTCTTTCTTTCGTTCGTTCGTTCTTTCTTCTTCTTTTTCTTCTTCTTCTTCTTCTTCTTCTTCTTATTATTATTATTATTATTACTCGATTTTATCATTTTCTCCTTCCTCCTCTTCCTTTGTTTTTTGTTTCTCCCTCTTCTTTCTTTCTTTCTTTCTTTCTTTCTTTCTTTCTTTCTTTCTTCTTCTTCTTCTTCTTCTTATTATTATTATTATTATTATTATTATTATTATTACTCGATTTTATCATTTTCTCCTTCCTCCTCTTCCTTGTTTTTTTGTTTCTCCTCTTCTCTTCTTTCTTTCTTTCTTTCTTTCTTTCTTTCTTTCTTCTTCTTCTTCTTCTTCTTATTATTATTATTATTACTCGATTTTATCATTTTCTCCTTCCTCCTCTTCCTTTGTTTTTTGTTTCTCCCTCTTCTTTCTTTCTTTCTTTCTTTCTTTCTTTCTTTCTTTCTTTCTTTCTTCTTCTTCTTCTTCTTCTTCTTCTTCTCATTATTATTATTATTACCCGATTCTGTCATTTTCTTCTTCCTCCCCTTCCTTTCCTTTTCTGTTTCTCCCTCTTCTAACTTCCTTTAGAAAATGAACAAAAAATAAGACGTAAAAATGCTTCATCATTCCACTTGTTATTTTTTTCCTGATGTGATCTCACTCGTGCTTGTCTGCAAAGAATTCTTGCCCGCCCTTGACAATTTCTTGTACCGCTGCTTCCAGCCGACAATTAGATTTACTCTTTGTCTGTATAAACAAGGTGAATAAGCCAACAAGTTCTCCAGTGCTGCTCGCCAGAGAAAACAGAAATTAACGAACAAGAAGCAGTAAAAACTGTTCGTTAAACTTCCAAAAACTAATATTGTGTAAAAAATTTCAAACATTACTTCGTTCTGCTAAGAGTGTCGCAATTCAAAATATAATTCACTTACTTATTATATCAAAAGAGGTATTTATAAATAAACGTGTCATTTTTGCTTTCACTTTTACTTATTTGATTAGTAAGTTTTTTGAATTCTTTCTATTGTTAGAAATTGCTATCGAATTATTTCAGAATCTTTTTTTCTGCATTGATATAACTGCAGACATTTGTATAATGTTACCACTGTAGACGATTTATCGGGAGATCTAGATATATCAGATTGTCACCGAGATTTTGAAAATAGGCACCTACACTATAGATATAGATTCATAATGCTAGATATATTTTTATATGAATTATGAATAAAATCAGGAAAATTAAGAATATATATATATATATATATATATATATGTGTGTGTGTGTGTGTATATATATTGTCTAAACTCAACCAAATTATCAAAAGTATCACGTAATTTACCATAAATAACCAAAAGGAATGGCGTTTTGTAACATTTCGTTTGTGCCTACATGTGCAATAATTTACCGTTAGAGGTATTCTCAGATGCCTAAATTTTCTGATCCCTACCTGAACTTATTTACACTACCACTACCACGTTTATTAATTTGACCATTTAAAATTTTCCAATCCCTTTTTTATTAAGATACACTCGCTTATTTCATACTGAGAAAAATTCCGACCTTACCAACTGCCACTCTTTTATTAAACACGTACGAGAAATGCAGTTCATTTGCCATGATTGAGTCCACATTATTTTGTTAATGTAATGGCCTAAATTTATTTAGTGCTGAATCTAATCTAATCTAATCTAAATAAATAAACGGCAAATTCTGTCTGTTGGTCCGCATGTCTGAAACACCTCTAACTCGTTCCACGCTTGCTCTATATAGACATATTATACGTTTTTGGAATCGGGATGATCCCGGGATTGAAAATATGCACATTATCTGACGCTTGAACATCCAGCATTGGAATTTGTGTCCAGATGATGAAGGAACAGTTAAAAATCCAAATTTTAAAATAGCTGAAAAAAAAATTAGTGATTTTAAAAGTTTTTAATTTATATCGAGTTTAAAGTTTAAAGTAACACAAAAAATATTGTGAATTTTAAAAAAATAATATTTTAAATTCAGTTTGAAATATCCCCAGAATTTTTTGAATTGATGAAATCAATTTTATTTCTTCAAAATATCAAGGAATCAGATTTAACGTGATGTGAGGTTTTGAAGTTGCGCAGAATTAGTTGTGATTTGAAGAATCCAATTCAATTGAGTTTGTGGTATGAAGAAATCAATTTTCGGCCTGAATTGGAATTTCGACCCAAATCGGTCTTTTCCATGTAATTAGAAATTAGTTTTGAGCAATCTAGCATGAGAGAGACGATCTACAAATCTATGGCATATGTGAATTACTTACGCATGCGACATTCGAACTCCTCAAGTGTGAGGAATTTGGACTACTTTTACATGGGGATACACTACATCCGCGTCCTGGGTATGGTGATAAACTACATCCGCGTCCTGGGTATGGTGATAAACTACATCCGCGTCCTGGGTATGGCGATAAGCTACATCCGCGTCATGGGTATGGCGATAAACTACATCCAACAGCAAGGCCTCAGATAGTGTTTTCGGAAAAATAATTTTGCCAGCTATACGTTTTTGAAACAATAACGTTGCCAGCTATACGTTTTTGAAACAATAATGTTGCCAGCTATACTTTTTTGAAACAATAATGTTGCCAGCTCTGCGTTTTTGAAACCATAATGGTTGCCAGTTATACGTTTTTGAACGTCCCGGGTATGACGATAAACTACATCCACGTCCTGGGTATGGCGATAAACTACATCCGCGTCCTGGGTACGGCGATAATCTACATCCAACAGCAAGGCCTCAGATAATGTTTTCGGATAAGTAATGTTGCCAGCTATATGTTTTTGAAACAATAATGTTGCCAGCTATGCGTTTTTGAAACAATAATGTTGCCAGCTATACGTTTTTGAAACCATAATGTTGCCAGCTATACGTTTTTTGTAAAAAATAATGTTGCCAGCTATACGTTTTTGAAACAATAATGTTGCCAGCTATACGTTTTTGAAACAATAATGTTGCCAGCTATACGTTTTTTGTAAAAAATAATGTTGCCAGCTATACGTTTTTGAAACAATAATGTTGCCAGCTATCCGTTTTTGGAACCATAATGTTGCCAGCTATGCGTTTTTGAAACAATAATGTTGCCAGCTGTACGTTTTTGAAACAATAATGTTGCCAGCTATCCGTTTTTGAAACAATAATGTTGCCAGCTATACGTTTTGAAACCATAATGTTGCTAGCTATATGTTTTTGACTTTTAAAGTCACTCAAAATCATTTTAGGCATAAAGTGACCACTAAGGTTGAGATGCCGTTAAACAAAACAATCAACAATCAATTATTCCAGGTATATTTAAAAGCAATTTTAGATATACACTTCAAAATATGGCAGTATTACTTATTTAAAAAGTTTTGGTCCTTTCTTGAAGTCTGAAAAAATAATATTGAGACGTTTGCGCGCGAATACTCAAGTGACGCTAATGCATCCGCCATCTTTGTTGTTTTTCGATTTAGGTTAAACGTTGCACCTTTCAAGCATCCATAGCCACGTTGAAAGATTACACATAGATGCGAAGTGGTTTCATTGCTGAAAAGGTGATTAACAAAACTGATGAAACACAAATATTGTGAAAATAAAAAAAAACGAAGAAAAGATTAGAGACGAAGAGAGAAAAGGGCTAAAATAATGCATTTCCTTTTTATTTTTATTTTAGCGAAACTTCTAATAGCCGATCTTGTCCCTGTAGTTGAAAGTGTTTTTAATCAAAAGCGACTGAGAGACGATTACCTGAAAGATGAGAAGCCTGCAGAAATTATCTTCATACACAGTCGTCATCGGCGAGTCTACACGTGGCCAATCCAATAAAAATAACCTTATCACCCTCTCTTTCGACTAAGGTGTCCTGGGTATGACGATAAACTACTTTCGGGAGATTGAAGGTTTTAAGGAGCGTTGAACTACCTCATAAATAGATTGACATCTTGGGTCCTACGCGCTTACTGTTGAAATAGCTACAAAAACCAGTTCTACTCTAACAGTTTCTTTTCCTGCATTTCCCTTTGCTTCGCTGATAACTACAATCTTTAAAAATCTAAATGCAACATCAATCGCCATCTTCTTGAATCCCGTTCATTTCTTGTCCTATCCTCAATCCTCCCTATACTCATTCATTTCTCTGAAATTATCTCCCTGTAACCCCCACCCCGCGCGTATTAGTGGCATTTTCGACTTGCTTGTTGGGGGTGGGGATTATTTTAAAAATGTAGTTCCCAAATCCACCCTGACCCGGGGTGGTAGCACTTGTTAGGGGTCCCAGCCATGGGCAAATAGTGAACGCCAAACAAAAATCAACAGTATATTTTTATAATAAAATGAGCAACAGTACGTTTTATAGCCAAATAACAATCAATAAAACACTAAAAAAATATAAAAATACATTTTTATAGTAAAATGACCAAAAATATCTACAAACTATACATCTAAAAAACATATCTTTATTTTGAAATTATGAAATTATTTACAACATATCGGTATTTAAAAGCATAAAATTCCACAAATACACAATATTTAGACTTCGGCATTAAATAACCCATAGAAGTTGATATGCCGTTAAACAAAATCAACCAATCAAACCAATGAAAATATTTAAATTTCGGCATTAAATAAACTATCGAGGTTGATGTGCCTCTAAACAAAATCAACCAATCAAACCAATTAAAATATTAAGATTTTGGCATTAAATAATCCATAGAGGTTTATATGCCGCTAAACAAAATCAACCAATAAAACCAATGAAAATATTTAGATTTTCGCATTAAATAACCCATAGAGGTTGATATGCCGCTAAACAAAATCAATCAACCTTTCGACCGAATCATTATCCTTATCATGAGTCTCATGGCCGGTTGTGGTTGTAAGATCATTGCGCCGCTGAGCAACTGGCCAGTTTCCTTCTCATGCTTCTGTTACGTGCCAATGTTTGGGTCTCAGCGAATGATGTTCTAGTTCATTTTTTTATTGTCTGCCTCTTCTTCTAAGGCCTAAGGTGAGGACTTTTAGGATAGTTGTGAAGAGATTTCTGAGTTTCGTGACGTGTGCATACCATTTCAAATTCCTCTTCTTCTCCATTATCTCACTATGTATTGTTCGACATTTACAATTTCAAGACAGTTACAGTTCACAGCGTCTATCTATATCCTGATCACGAGAAGAACAGAGTTTGGCTCTATCTCACGAAGACTCAAACATCATCTCGTGGTCACCATCTAGACCGCCACAGGGAACGGGGTTTGCCCATCTTTCAAACACCCATAGAACAGAGGGTGCTTCTATCTCCCGAAAATTATCATATCCTCTACGAGACAATCGCAGATCATGCCAGTAAAACCCAACATCATTGCAGGCTTCAAATTTTGCCGGACTTCTAATCAGACACCTATGTGTTTTGAAACTGCCTCTCGCTTTCTCTTTCTCTCTCTCACCCCCCTCTCTCTCTCTCTCTCTCTCTCTACACACACACACACACACACATATATATATATATATATATATATATATAGAGAGAGAGAGAGAGAGAGAGGGGGGATGTTTCAATAACTTGGACCGATTTTAAATGTGAATTA